TCATAGCTAGTATATAGCTCATGGTTTAAAATTGCTTAAAATTGTTCCTTTTTCAGATATTGCTAATTTTCAAATTTTACAAATAGAGCTCAATTTAAGAAACATGTATTTTTCCTTAATTTTATAAGACAAAATTTAAGAGCTCATACTGGATTGCCTGGACCCCAGGAAAATGTCATAACAAATTTGTATATCAGATAGATTATAGACCTTACAAAAACAATTGGCCATGCAATTTTATTCTTTACACTGGAGTTGCTGTATAATAAAAGTTTATTTGTCTATATTGCTATGCCACTGTAGCTGATCTGCCTTTTGTGATCCTTTGAGGCCAGAAACTGGGTTTTTTTGTTGTTGTTGTTGTTGTTGTTGTTTTTGTTTTTTGCACTTATCACCTCATTCTAAAAACAGCCAAAAATTAAGTAAACAGCTTTTGTTTTATCTCAACAAGAATTGCTGGGCTCTAACTTATGCCTGCTAGTCTGAGGCCACTTAAAAAAGTTATTATAGAGTTTATTATTAAGAGTAAAAAAGTTTTCTATGAAAACTATCTAAGGAAAAAGTAAAGCTGGGCAGTGGTGGCAAACGCCTTTAATCCCAGCACTTGGGAGGCAGAGGCAGGTGGATTTCTGAGTTGGAGGCCAGCCTGGTCTACAGAGTGAGTTTCAGGACAGCCTGGGCTATAAAGAGAAACCCTGTCTCCAAAAATAAAACAAAACAAAAAAAAGTAAAAAATAAAAGTTTTTTTTTTGAGAAAAGGAAAAAAGTTCTATTTTATATGCTATCCTAAGTGGGAAAAGGCAAAGAGTTGTTTTATATCTCCATTATATTTGCCTCTTATCTTTTTGTTTTCAGTATTTATATAATTTTTAAAAAATATATGATCACATGTTACAAAGTTCATTACAAGTTAATACCAAAAATTAAATTGAAATAAAAGTTTATAATAGAAAATGTTTATATACATATTTATTAAAAATAATTGTATAGCTAAACACCCATTACCTGTCTGGCTCCACAGATTCACTGAAGGTTTAAAACTATGACTAAGTTATCAGTGAAGATTTGTGTAGATAAGCCCAGACGATATTTTATTTTCTATCCTAATGCCTATGGTAAATTTTATTGATCTTTGGCAAATTGTTTTAAGCCTCCTAGAATGTGCTTTGAGTAGAAAAAAGTCTAGTTATTATCCAAGAACAATTAACTGATGATACGTGAGAGATTGACAGAATTCTTATTACAGTTTTGACTATCAGAAAAAGGACTAGTAACAGTCTCATTATAAAAGAGCTTAATAATCATGGATATCATTTTAAAATTTTTTATAAGATCATCATTAAGATTTAGAAAGTTACCTATTATATAACATCACCACAAGATAGTACATTTTTATAGACCTATGCTTAATAATAATAGCTTGAGACAACAATTTGATATTTTTAGAGAGTGTATAAGTCAAATTACAAAATTTGTTTTTAGTGTGCTCAATTTTTTCATAATGGTGTTAATACTTGAGAACTTATACCTAATAAGTTATGACGAGTAGATCTTACTCATTTCTGACTTAAAAAAATATGTATATGTGATTTGATACCTTTTTAGGCTTTCTAGCTCCAATTACTTTAACAAGAGAAACAAAACTGTAATTAGTTATTGCCTATATTATCTTTTTATGCTTGGTGTTCCATGTCAGATTAAGATAGATAAAACTGGCTATTACAGTCAGACATTTGAGATGTTTTGTTAACAATTTAATATTACCCATATTACTAGAATTCCTTATAATCCTCAAGGACAAGGTATTATAAAACAGATATAAAATTTTAAAATAATATCTTCATAACTCTCTGAGTGTGGGAGGAGTAGCACTGGCACTTCTGCCCTGGTTTTACAAGAACTCTAAAAAACTGTCCTTTAAAACAAAAGAGCGGGAACTATACCCCCAGAAGGCGTCTCCCAGAAATACTCTCCATCATGCCTTATTCGTTTTCAATCTGGATGCTCATGACAAATCTGCTGCTATTGCCTCTGGCATCCTGAGACCAATAAAAACTATGCCACAGTTATGTGGAAGGACCGTCTTACCTTCAAATAGAATGACACAGACCCAGTTCTCATATGGGGCTGAGGATTGATATGCCTGTTTGATACCAAAGGAGGCACAGCTAAATGGCTGACAGAAAGATTAATGAACTAAATGGATGCCCCACAAAGCCAGGCCCAATTACAGATGAGATGAGTGGCAGTTGATGTCCAGGGAGGAGGGATCTCCCTGGGAATTCCCTTTTTACTTTCCAGGTAAAAATGAATCACATGTGGTGTTTGCTGTTGGAGGTTCTAATCCTGATGCTGGCCTCCGGACTTACACTATTCAGACCTTCAACGGGCCAGTGACAAGGACATCAAACAGCTGGAGATTGACATCACTAATCTGAAGAAATCCCTCGTTTCACTGTCTGAAATGGTCCTCCAAAACTGCAAAGGACTTTATTGGACTTGATTTACTCTTTTACAACAGGGAGGACTGTGTACAGCTCTAGACTGTGTACAGCCCTTAAGGAAGAATGTTGCTTTTACATAGACAAGACAGGATGGTTAAAGAGAGCATGAGAGAGAAAGATGAGAGCTGGTACAAGAACTGGTTTTCAACCTCTCCACAGTTGTCAACTCTATTTCCTTCCATTTGGGACCACTAATTGGGTTATTTTTGCTTCTTTCTTTTTTTTTTTTGTCCCTGGGCCTTAAATAGGCTGACTACCTTTGTGAAACAACAGATAATTTGACAATAAAACCTATTCAGATACATTATCATAAGTTAGCTATGGAGGACCACGAGACTCAAGACGAGGTTGTTATCCCATCCAGGGTATTCCCAAAACCCATCTCAACCCATCCTAAAAGAGGGGACTTCTGCCCCTAGAACAGCAGAGAGGGGCCTCTAACTGGTGATCTAAATTATTGCTTAGGCTATGAGGCAAAGCACTGCAAGGGAATATAAATAAAAATTAAAAATATCTTTCTGGGTTCCCTAAGGGACAAACTTGACTGCATAGGGGTTGATGTGCAAAGTATCCCCTCTCCAGGAAAAAGACATCGGGACGGGTATGGCCCCCATGCCTCACTGGACAATGCCAGGAGGACCAGAGTCATTATAAGGTCACCTTTAATTACTGGAGGTCAGGCTTCTATCCCCACCTTGGCAAGATTAGAATCACCACGATCTCTACACTGAGAGAAGGGAGGAGATGTTGGGAGTGATCATCCTTATACACTGAAGGCCTAAGTCAGCCATCCATGCCTACTGACACAAAGTCTTGGTCTCTGTGGGAAAACACTACCCCAGAACAGATAGCTATAGATCTTGTAGACAGGCAGCCCTGGTGGGAAAGTACCAGCCTAGATAAGAACAAATACTCATAGATCTTATGGACAGGTAGCTCTGGTGGGAAAGAACTAACTTAGATAAGAACAAATGACCAATAGATCTTATGGACAGGATGATAGTGACCTGTTCTGCCCTGCTTCTTCTGTGAACTTTTCACACAGCCAATATCCTGTTTTGGAAGACATCTGTACTCCCCCTGAGAACACCTGTGCTCTCCAGAAACAAAGAAAACCCTATGTCATCCCCTCCCCACATCCTGCTTCTATGTGTATATAACCCCCTGTGAAAAAATTAAAATTACAGTTTGATCAGACTCTAGACAAGCAGTTTTTCTTTGTGTACCCCTGTCCTCCAGTTCTCTCTTCAAGGTCCTCTGGAACCCAGTTCAACACACCGTGGGACTGGGGCAATCCAGTGCCTCAGGCTCCCAATTAGCCATGATCACAGGTCTACAAACCACCCTAGGTTTTATTTAAATGCTGGTCAAGGTTATCAGGCTATGATGACACACACCCTTAGTCCCAACACTTGAGAGGCAGAGGCAGCATCTCTAAGCTTGAGACTATTCTGGTCTATAAAGTTCCAGGACAGCCAGAGCTACACAGAGAAACCCTGTCTCAAAAACCAAACAATTTGGTCAAGGATGTTCCTTCACTCTAGAACCTGTAGGTCATGACCCCTTTGGGGGTCAAAGACCTCTTTTTCAGGGGTTGCTTAAGACCATCAGAAAACACAGATATTTATATTACTACTCTTAACAGGAGAAAAATTATAGTACAAAGTAACAATTAAACTAACTTTATGGTTGGGGTCACCACCAGGAACTGTATTAAAAGGGTCACAGTATTAGGAAGGTTGAGAACCACTGCTCTGGAGTCTGCAAACTTGTACAGAGGTGGGGCAGCAGGCAGCGGGCAGCAGGAAGGGTCTGGGTCACATGTAAATGACAAGATCAGTTTTGGAGCCAGGTCCACCCCTGCCTCAATGCATGGGTGCGGGTGTTACAGGCCCTCTACCCTCAAGAGAGGTGTGACAGCCACTTAGGGGCTGACACAGACAATCTCAGAGTCTGTGTGGATTTTTCCCATGGTAGCCCTCAGGACAGTGCACAAAGATATCATGTTCCCAGACCTTGCGGCATGTGGCACCCTCCTGGAGAGCTACAAACAGTCCCCTCCTGAGCAACTATGCCATCCCTGGGCAAGAAGCAGCAACAGACCTTGGGCTACTACAACACCCTCTTCCTGATGCCCACCAGGAACTGACTGGGTCTACAATAAAGAAATGCTGGATAATTCAAAGGCCCAGACACAAAGAAGAGGACACGGTCCCAGCACAGTAAGTTCTTATTATTGCCACAGAGTGAGCCCCACCAGGAGGTGATGTCACTGTTCCAGCAGAGCCCACAGATCAGCTACAGGGTGGGCTGCACCGCTCTGCCCTAAGAGCTGAGGTCAGTCAGAGACTGGGGTGGTGGGAGCTCGCAGGCTGTGAATGAACAGCAGGGGAGCTGACTGGGAAATGAAAGTCACCTCAGAAGCCCAGGGCACACTATCCAGGCCTTGGGCACACTCTGTGGAGGCAGAGGATTGGCAATGGAGGCTGAGTGAGGGAGTGAGGTGTGTGGAAGTCTTGGAGACAACAGGAACAGGAAAGGGATCCCAGGTGACAGTGTGGGCCCTGCAGAGTCCATGGTAGCTTAGGGCCCGGTGTGTCTGAGTCAGAAGTTCGGCTTGTGTTTCTTCAGCTCCACCATGAGGTGATGGATATTGATGAGCTCGGCCCTGGCAGGGAGCGCGCGGAGCTGGGGCTGGGACAGCATCCGGTGGAAGCGGTGGTACAGCTGGATCAGCTGGGTCAGCGCCCCCTGCACAAAGGGGACTCGGAGTCAGACTCATGGTGACTGGACCTGTCAGAGCTTCACCAGAGTCTCAGGCACAGTGCTTGTTGGCCTTTAAGACATTCGTGTGATGCAGAGCCCAGAGGAAAGAGCAAGGAAACAGACAACCATGGGACACAGGCAAAGGGCTGGGAGTGGCTGGTCACCTGGATGATGCTGGTTCCATTTCGAAAGTTGGTAAAACTCCGCATTACGTCCTGACTCAGGGACTCCACTGACGCCTTCCAGGAACTACCAAAGCCACGGATCAGCTGAGTGACTCGGGCTGACGGCAGAGGAAAGGGCTTGTGAGAGAGCAACCAGACCTGGTGACCTTCCACTGTCCACCCGGCACAAAACAACCAGGGCTGGTGCCCAGCAAGGCCTGCCCAGGGCACAGCCATGCTTACCATCAAGCCTGACTTTCCTGGTGTTCTTCCAACCAAATCTTCCCTGCTGCGCTGCCTCCTGACACTGTGAACCCCACACACTGTCCCTAACTCCTGCTGTCCCTAACAAGTCATGACAACACTGCATACCTTCCTCCCCTCGGAGCCGCTCAGCCTGCCCACGCTCAATCAAGGCTTCAGCCTCCTTCACAAAGGCCACCAGACCCCCGAAAGGGGGAGACAGCAACTCTTTGATGAACTCCTGGAGAGAAGTGCAAGCCCACACAGGGTCAAACTCTGGGGAACAAAGGACCCCTACTCTGGACAGTGACAACTAATAACACAACAGACAGCAGCCTCTGTGAGCCTTCCACCTTAGGTGGTGATGTCACAAGGTGCAGGGGATGTACCCAAGGATTTCCTTCCAGAACCAGGAACTAATAAGCTGCTCTTCAGGAAGAGTGCTTGCCACTGGTCCCCAGAACACATGGTGGAAGAAGGAAGAAAGGAGCCCACTCCTAGAAGTTGTGACCTCTGACCTCCATGTACTTCAGATGTGCCTGTGCAAGCCTGCATGCACACACATACACACAGGGCTATAGTGCATAAACACACATACACACAGGGCTATAGTGCATAAACACACATACACACACGACTATAGTGCATAAACACACATACACACACGACTATAGTGCACACACACGCATACTCACATAGCTATAGTTTTACTTTGCTTCTAAGTGCTCAGTACCATGAAAAAGTTAAATGAAACAGACTAGCATTGAGGCAGTGGGTTGTAATCATGACTGCACACGGAAGTCAGTCCAATACCACACCCAGGCCCTACCTGTGTCCGAGCATTGAGCAGCTGCTGGAAACTCTCCACCTCTTTGCTGTCGTCAGCAGCTCGCTCCTGTTGAAGACAAGACAACTCAGGAGCTTAGAAACCCCTTTCCTGTCCAGCACTTCCCCTTCATTCCACACTGCAGACACTGCCAGGATCCAGGGGTAAAGCGCTGAGCTCCTGTGGAGCTTACAAGCTGTAGGGACTCCCCGGGGAGGAGCAGCCTTACCATCAGCACGCCCAGCATCATGTCATAGTTGTTGATGAGAAACACAAGCTGCTCCTTCCTGGAAGAGAACTCTGCAGCCACTCGGAGGACAAAATTCTCCACCTCCACCTGCAAAAGCCAAACAAAAGCAGCAGGGTAAAAGCTAGGTGACAGGGACCCTCCCCCTCCTGGCAAGTCTGTCCTGCCCAACCCCACCTGTAGATGTCCCAGGAGCTGCAGCCTGCGTTCATTGGGGATGGTCTGGTTGATGCTGACAAGTGCAGAGGAGAACTCAGCATAGCATAGTGTGATCTTGGAGCAAGAAGGGAAGGCTCACACCTGCCTGCCTGGCAGACACAACCCCCAGCTGCCTCTGCAACTCCTGTCCCCAGTTAGGACAGGAGTTGTCTGCCTAAGTTGACTCCTTCAGCAGTACCCAACCCACTACTTAGTGTGACCACAAGAACCCCGTGTTACCCTCACCCGCCCTTACATAGTGGGGCTGAGTGTCCAGTCCCCCAAGGTGCTGGGGGTCAGTGCTGCGGACACTCTGGACATTCATCTCCAGGATCAGCTCAAACCGAGGCCACAGCAAGGCAAGCACCTGCCCCCAGTACCTGCAGGCTTAATCAGAATCAGAGGTAGCTGACTAGGGGTGCTGGCTGCTCAGGGGAGCACAGCACTCTTCAGGAGAGTAGGTGTGCCCGATACCAATGCTGCCCCTGGGACACACAATGGGAATGAGGGTGAAGGACATCAGGTGAGGAAAAGCCCAGGGTCAGGACAGAATTGTTTGCATAAGATAAAAAGCTGACTGCCTCCAGGCATAAGGACCAGAGCTCAGTGACCTGTCCAGGGCAGGGACGTCACCCTTCGCTGCAATGCTGCGGAACCGGAGAACAATGTGGAAACAGAGAAAAACAGCAATGGCGTCGTAGCAGTCGGCCAGGTAGGACTCCAGGTGTTTCTGTGGCAGACAACTGAATGTTAGCTTGTTGTTTGAGTTGCTGCAGGCAAACAGATGTACATTTCTTTGGGGACAAGGCACTGGCCAGGGAGACCAGATCCTTCCCTGTCCACAGGCATCTGAGTGGCCTGACTCCCTCACTAGCCACACTTCTGTAAGTTCCCCAGAGCAACAGAACCCGGGGCTGACTTGGGATGGGAGCTCCAGGTTCAGGGCTTGGAGAACACTCATTCTCCACGAGTTGCTGTCTGTCTGTGGAAAGGCACGGAAGTCGGAAGCTCACCAGTGTCATAGAAAGTGTGCGGCCCATGACAGCGTGGAACAGGTCATGTGCAGATGGGCCAGAGACGACGAAAAATTCACAGATGAAAAGATATTCACGGCAAGAATTGTCGAGGAGGGCATAGTGCTGGCTGCGGAAGAGGGCTTCAAACGGATACTACCGAGACAGAGAGACATGGGTGGGTCTCACACTGACCCCGTGGATATGGAGACTCAGCACAGCTTAGTACTGAGAGCTCACAAGACCACACACCCAAGCTCCAGGCAGGGAGGAGCACCCTGAACAGACACTCAAGAGGGGGCACAGGTCACAGAGAAGCCCTGCCCACTGGCTGCGGGCCCCACATCCACTTCAGCTGTTGCCTCCCGACAGCCACGCCCCAGCCTCTGCACACCTCTAAGTCCATGGCTCCTAACCTCTGGAATCACAGCAGGCCAGGGAACCCCCAAACTAACACTTAGGGAACTGATCCCTGGCCATGGAGGGGTAGCCTCGACATACCCTCTGCTCTCCATGCTGGGCAGTATGGGGCACCAGGATGGGGGCCTCGAGCTCGGCCGGTGAGATGACAGCACCACGGGTGCCCAGGGTAAAGATGGTGTTCCTGCTTCGGAGGGACGGCTTCGAGAAGAATCGTGAACAGCATCAGAGTCAGGGAAAACAATGAGACCAACTGCACCAGGCCCAACAACCCAAGGGCTGAGGATCCCAGGAAGCTAAATATGGCCCGGACCGCCATTTACAGACCAAAGCCTTGCTTCTCCTGACACCCGTAATGGCCGTCAAGATTTTACAAACCCTCTGAAATAAATGTGAAAAGCCGTCAGAATAGTGTGTGCTTCTTGGAGAGGAAGCTCTGGCTTTCTCATCCTCAAAGGTCAAGAACCACAGAATGAGAAAGAAACACAGCCCTGAGCTGGAGAGATGGCTCAGCAGTTTAGAGCACTGACTGCTCTTCCAGAGGTCCTGAGTTCAATTCCCAGCAATCACACAGTGGCTCACAACCATCTCTAATGGGATCTGATGCCCTCTTCTGTTGTGTCTGAAGACTTATACAGTGTATTAACAAAAGAAAAGAAAAGAAACACAGCCCTGCAGGCTGGATGTCCCCACCATGAGCCCGGCATGTGAGTCTCCCCTCTCAGGATATCTTTCTTTGCTGTGTCTTCTACACCCATTAGATCCTCTTTCTCAGCAACTTCCTCATACTAGAGAAAATAACAGAGGTGAACAATCACTCTCCACCACCAGCAGGTGGGGAGCTCTGCCCTCCTCCCCTACCTCCTCCTCCCCCCCCCTCCTCCTCCTCCTCACCTCCAGCCTGGCTCACCTGCACTTTCATGAGCCGTCCCACATAGGAGCGGAAGTACGACAGGTAGATCTTCCTCAGTGTCTCTACATACTCGTCCCTGATCTCCTTGGCTGTAGCACGCTCATTGCCCAGCAGGAACTGATAGAAAAACCTGGAAGGACCAGGGCAAGTCAGACACCCTGGATGTCCACGCTGGACTGTTGAGAGTCTCACAGGCCACCCTGTGCCCATCCTGAGGTGGTCACCTGTACTTCAGCAGGGCTGTCTGGGGGATCTGATAGTTGGTCATCGGCTTTCTGAAGGAGTATGTCTTCTGGAGAATGAACTCACGGATCTTCGTCACTGCCTAGACGTGGGGAACAGACAGACAGGCCGTGAGAGGGTGGGCTTTTGCTGTATGGCAGGAACAGGGTGAAGATAAAGGAAAGGAAAACAATACTTCAGTTCTGTTCTCATTGTGGAAACACGGTCTCTCTGTGCAGCCCTTGCTGGCCTGGGATTCACAGAGGTCTGCCTGCCTCTGCCTCCTGAGTGCTGGGGTATAGTCATGCACCACCAGGCCCGGCCTTATTTTTCTGGGTTGTTTCATTTTGTAAGTATGGAAGGCTTTACAATTTGCCTGTCATCCCTTACTTACAAAGGAGCCATGCTAATCTTCTCTGTATTGTTCTAACTTTAGTATCTAGGATACCAAAGCGAGCACTGCTTGTTTTTGAGGCAGGGTCTCATGTATCTGGGGCTGGCCCCAAACTCTGTTTCTTCTTCCGCCTCCTGAGTGCTAGGACAACAGACTTGTGCCATCATGCCAACATACACAGCACTGGGGACAGAACCCGGGGCCTCATGCATTCTAAGCAAGTGCTCTACCAACTGAGCCACATCTCCAGCCTCTTTAGATTTTCCGGGGATCTGGAGGGCCAGCGATGCACTACACAGCGGGAAGCAGTGGGAAGCCCTTGGGAAGCTGACTCTAAGCATTCCACTCCCCACCTTGACCTGGAGCCGGTCGAGCACGCCTCTGACATCTGCACAGGCAGCGGTGCCTCTCGCCTCCTGCTCTCTGACTGCAGCTGCCTTGGCATCCAGCTCCTGTAGCTGCTCCAGGAACCTGGGCTCTGTCACTGGAGCTTCCAGAATTGCTCTGAGGAGCAAGGGAGGATGGGAGTGGTTAGACGGGGGTGGGGGGACTTGTCAGTCCTGAAACAGGCCCTTAAAACATCTCACGTGTCATTTCTTCCTTTCTCTGTGCTCTCATGCCTTCCAGATAATATGCACAAAGTTTTCATCTCTGAGCCACACCTCCTCAGGTAGCCCTGGATCACTCCTAAGCTGTGTCCTAGCCTATGGCAGCTAAAGAAGGGTTAGGAGTTTTATTTTTAATTGGTTATTTTATGTATTTACATTTTGAATGTTATCTCCCTTCTCCCAAGCATGTGATTACAGGCAGAAGCGGGCACACCTGGTTTCTACATGGCACCTGACAACCCCAGCCTGAAGACCTATGTTTTTAACTGTGTAGGTAACCCAGCCCAGCCACCTGCTCTGGACATTATGACCCTTCAAACCAGTGACTCACGTGACCAGAGCAGAGGGCACTACCAGCCCATCGATGAGTTCCCCAAGTTTTCCCCAAACTGCCTGTCGGTTACGAAGTCAGATGTTCATGGCCCCTGACTGTTCCTGAAGGGTCTGGATCTCAGAGCTGATGGAGCTGAGGTCACTCTGAAAAGCTCCCAGCATCTGCTCCATGTGCTGTGTGGAGGGCAGAAAGCATTGTGGGCATGACTCCCGGTGGATTGGGGTCAGGGACAAGTCTGCCACCCAAGTCTCTGAGCGAATACCCCAGTATCCAGCAACCAAGGAGAATGGGAGATCTTCATTTGTCCAAGGGGGACTAAAAAATACTGGGGAAAAAAAACGGAAGAGCTGAAGGCAACAGGTGAGGGCCACCCACCTCCAGGATGGCATCACAGGCTGTGATCTGATTGTGCAGAGATGCTATGTTTTCACTCTCTTGGATATCTGACCCACAAATGTCAAGGGCTTCACACTGAACACAGAGCTCTGCAGATTAGCAGTACCTGCCCACAAGTTCTCCCCAAAGTGACCTGAAAGAGACAACATCCCTGTGGGGGCTACCTGCATCACACACCCCAAAACCCCATGTCAATAGCACCCATCTTTTCCCTCTGCTGGAGGATACAGTCCCGGATTGATTTCTGCTCAATCTGCTGCAGCTCCAGCTCCACCTGCTTTGAATAGTGTCGAAGATCCACACCCTGGGGGAATGACAAAGTCAGAAGAAGCCACAGTGAAAGGACACGAGAACAGACTGGGTGACAGGCTAGAGGGAAGCCACCAAGTGAGGTGACACTGAGTAAGGGAAGGTGGGGGAGATCAGTGCAGTGGAGAGCCTCACCGTTCTGAGAGCTTCCTTCACTAACTCGTCCTCCAGATTTGCCTGGATGTGAACTGGAAACAAGTTGATATTTAGGGTCCCCTGCTACACCTCCCTCTGCCCACACTGGGCACATACAAACCACACCCATCTCCCCTTCCCTTCCAGACCCCATCCTCTCCAGTTATAGGCACAGTGCTTTGCCTGGTGGGACTTTCTGCTGTTTCAGCTCCTCATGGTCTACTCAACCTCAGATCAAAAATATTAAAGTGTGACTTGTAAGATCTAAAATGTGTGGCATCCTGAGAAGCTGAAGAATCTCTCGCCCAGCCTTGGATAGGAAACATCTTTGCTCTATGGTATGTGCTGTTCCTGCCTCTCAATCACTCTGTCTTAGCTGTCTGCACATTTCTGTTCAAACAGTCTTATTTTTACTTAATACTAACCCCAAAAATCAAAAAGCAATGCAGCAATTTTATTATAGTGTACTACTATAACCATTCAACTCTTACTGTTCATTTCTTACTAAGCCTAAATTAGAAATTAAATCTTCTCAATTCATAGATTAAACTTTATAGGTACATTTTAAAAAAAAAACCATAGAGGATCATCTACTGGGGTTATGTAATATATTCCTAAAGAATACTTTGTCTGCACCCCGTCACTACTTACCATCCACTTCATCCAAGATGAACTCATCAGAGGTGATATCCAACTCCCCAAGTTGTAGGGGCTCTTGAAGTCCAGAAACACCCCCCTGAAGAGGGACAGGTGGATGAATGTGGGATACAAAAATAGGTGTTGATAACAAAATACAACATGATATCTCTAGTCAGGCAAGTGATACAGGGGTGCTTTTGCGAGGTTGCCATAGTGAGTGGGTAAATGATTCTCATACACTCAAATCTACATTTTTGGGCTACTGAGAATATCAGGCAATTCTGGAGTTGCTGGAGTTGTTCCAATGAGAAAAAACTAGGATTAGTCAAACTTGCCTTTGAATTTAGGGCCTCAGTCTCCTGCTATCCCAGGTGATCTACCTGAGGGAGTTCCAGAGGCTAAAGTTGTCAGCTTACACAGTGTTTACCCATGTGTCAGGGGCACCTCAAACATACTCATTCGTCTAATCCTAACGACCACCTACAAGGTAGGTCCTAATAACGTCTCCACTTTATAGGTGTGGGAAGCTTTGGCACCGAAAACAGCATAGCTTTCAAGAGATGGGGCTGGAAGTGGGACTCAGGCAATCAGGTTCCAGAAGCCACATTCTTAATCTTTTACACTAAGTTCTCATTTCTACTAAAAAATGTGAACAGGAAACTGACATTCTCCTTAGGATTTGGGTTTCAGCCACTTCGGTCCCCACGAAGTCTTGGTCACCATCACCTGTACCAGGACAGCTCGGAGCCTTATGTCTGAACGCTCCCTATGCCTTCCTGAGGAGAGGGACGACATGACAACACTCTGGAGGACAAACAGCCCTGAGCACTTAGGATGGGGGAAGGAACCTGAATCCAAAGGTCCCACCAGACAGTCATGATCAAAGTCCAGTGATCTTAAGCTTGATTGGATTGTCTGTCTTCTGTACCATCCAGTGGGGTTCCTGGGGAGCAGGGCATCTGCAGGTTTCACATGAGAAACATGTACCCAGGCTGCAATACCATCTTCCTTGAGGACTGTGGGAGTGGTTAGCAGCACCAGGAAGGGTCCTTTCCACCAGGGTTCCAGTGCTTGTGCCCAATGCCTCCTTCTGTAGACCCAGTCACCAGTCTGGAAGCGGTTATCGGTCTCTGTCATCCCTGTCTTCTTCCACCCATGGGCTCTCATTTTGGGCCAGTTAGTTGTGACTTGTCAGACAGGAAGTGTATCCTGGCCCCCATCTTGCCACAACAGAGGGTAGGGACAATCTGGGATGACCATAAATGAATGGGAAACCTGGCCCATCCCTAGGTCCACTGTTCTTCCGGTAGTTCATGAATACATTTTGGTGCCAGTGGCTCCTTGGACCCAAGATTTTTTTCTTGGAAATGGGACCAGCTGCTTGGAGGAGGATTGAGTATTGAGCCCCTGTGTCCACCAAGAATTGAGTGGGTTTCCCCTCCACTCTGAGTTGCTCTGGACTCAAAGAGGGGTCTGAAGCCTGTCTACCCCAATCACTGTCTCCACCTAGGGCTAACACCTTTGCCATTTGGGAGGCACTTTTCCCAAAGCCTGGGAGTTTTCACCCCTGGCTTCTGTTTGTTGGGGCACTCTCAGGTGCAGTGGTCCCTCTCCTTGCAATGTGCACACTGGTCTTTTTCAAGGGATTTTCTGTCTCTCTTTGAATGGAGTCTCTCTTCTCTGCTTTCCCTAACTACTGTAGCCAAGATTCTCTGTAAATTCCTTTCCTGTCACCTTTCGTTTTTCATCTCCCTTTCATCTTCTTCCTTCTCTTTTCTCTCCTTCTCCTCCTGTCTCCCTGTTGTGGTAGACTTTCTCAGCAACCTACACTAAATCCTTTAACAACTTATCCTGTAGTCCTTCTAACCTCTGAAGCTTTTCCCCACTAGCCTGGTCTATAAAAGCCATAGTCACAGTAGCTTTGTGCTGCTGAGGTCACAGGGTGTATATATTGGCAGAATGCCTCCATGAGTTGCTCTGGAAAGGCTGGAGGCAACTTGTCTGGTCCCTCCTTAACCTTGGTCAGATTGGTGGGTATTCATGCAGCCCCCTTGAGACCTGTCAATGGAGCCTGGTGGTAGACTTTCAGGTGCCCCTTACCTTCTGATGTATTAAAGACCCAGTCAGGTCTAGTCAGGGGAAAACCCACTGTCGACAGCAGGCTGACCAATCGATGGTGCCCCCATGTCTGAGGGGGCATTCTTTCTGGCTTCCTGCATTACCCTTTCTCGATCTTCAGTTCTTAAGAGCACTCTCACAAGTTGTTGAATATCATCCCAGGTGGCCTGATGAGTAAATAAAACAGTCTCAAAGAGATCAGTCAGCCCCTTGGGGTTATCTGAAATGGGGGAGGGGATGTTGGGCTTTCCAGTTGTACAAGTTTGCCAAAGAGAAGGACCAATATTGCATGTCCTGATTGCCCTTATCTGGAGGCCCATATGCCCTCAGCAGGAGACCCATCGTGGTTTCAGGGGAGGTGGCTCTCAGATTTTGGGTCCCCATGGTGGGACCAGAAACTTGGGGGTCACCTCCTATTCTTCCCTCCAGTAAATGGGGGTACAATGGCTCTGATCCCGTAAGGGCTGAGGACCCCGGGGTCATTGCTGGCACTGGCAGGGCCATGGGGGCAAGGGTAGTGGGATATGGAGGAGGAGGGTCTTGGAGCAACAGGTCTGCTGTTGAAGGGTCTTGGAGGATCAACTATTTCTCAGGTTTGGATTCCTCCTCCAATGTTTCCTTTTTCCTGATGGCCAGAACCTGCAAGGTGATTCCTGGGGAAAGAAAGGCTTTTATCCCTGGGAAGGCAGGGAGTCCTCTGCTAGATTCTTTCAGGTGACTATATAGGACACTTGGGGTCTGGGTGCCCAAGGGATCCTGGCCTAAAGACTCTTTCCTCTACTGCTTTGATCACCTGCAAGTCGAAGGTCCCTACAGGTGGCCACCCTACTCCAAAGGTAGGCCATTCCGAGATGCAGAGAGTAACTAATTGCCCTTCTTAGATTCAGTCTGTCCAATGTCCAAAAATGTTGTCAGTCCAAGAACACAGAACGAGATAACCAATACCAACAAACACAGAGAAAGATAATCACACACCATTCACCCCTTCCATGGGCCCAGAAACCAGGTTATAGCAAGACTCAGCTCCAGCCAATTCTGTCTTGCTGCTCCCAGTAATCAGGTGTCTTGGCTAGCTTATGCTAGGGCTGGGTCTAAAGGAGGGGAGTCTTCCCGACTCCCTCCAGGGGACTTGGAGCTTCCACCAGGCTCCCCACATTTGTGACATTAAGGCATGTCTTCCTGCCACTTTTGAAGCCCAGATGCTTGCTAGCAAACCGAAAGTTCAGACAGGCTTACAGAGACTACGACAAACAGGGAGTCAGACAAAAACCCAAGTACGGGCTCCAGCCTCTCCTCCAATTCACTGCTCTCAGGTGTATCCCCACAGGGGGCCAATTCCAGGCCGATGCACCAAGTGTAAGACTCTGATGAGCCTTAGATAACAGGGACCTCACCACCACCCCACCCACATGGAGCTGGAGCTGGATGCAAAAGCAAGAGGAGTTTATTGTTCCAGTGCACTGGGGTTGACCTGCATCCAAAGGAGAGGCGATAACCCCGGGCAGCCGATTCGACCAGCTTTAATACAGTTTTCAGGGGTAGAATAGAGCCACAGCCATTAGGCAGAATGTGATTGGCAGAACAGTGTGACTTTTAACCTGATTGGTCCTTAGGGAATGAGGTAGCAAGGGCTTCTCTTAAGTGCAGGGGGGGTGGGCAATGGTCGGTCAGTCCCTCCTGTGGTCTTCCTGAGGAATGTAATTAGTCTCTCCCTTCTGGAGGAGGGAGGTGCCTGCATGCTCCATGACCTCTCTCTCTTCCAGGTGGGGAGGGGGCCTGGTGGAATTTCCCAAATGCCCTGAGCTGACCTCTTCAGTGTGTGTGTGTGTGTGTGTGTGTGTGTTGGTCTCTGTGTGTGTATGTGTGTCTATATCACTGTGACTGGAGAGTGTGGTGTTGAGTAACAATTGGGTGAGGATCCTGAGGTGTAATCTCACTCAGAAGTTGTATTTCAGCCCTAAGATCATAAGGACCCGTGACAACTGCAAAACAGAGGATTTGGGGCTGAAGGGAAAATCCCTGACTGCATTCAAGCTAATTGAATAAAACATAGTCTCTTTGTGTCAATTATTTGGGAGCAAGCTGGGTTAGAGAAAAGCACCACTTATTAATTTTATGATATACACCTTGACAAACAATCACACCTCCTTGTGTCATGATTAACTTCCAAATGAAATCAATATCCAGGCCATAATATATTGAAACATGAGATAACTATCACTAACTTGCCCTTCTCTTACCCCAGGTTCAGTCTGTCCAATTGTACAAAATTGCAAATGCATCATAAATTTAGAAAAAGTGGCAATGTCCCTTGTGGGATATTCTTTTAGTACCTCAAATTTAAATATAGTAATCATTGATAATTCTCTTAATTCATGCTACATCACATGATAAAGAAACAGAAAAAGAAAATGTAATATCTGTACAAATACATTTTTAATCAAATACAACATAAATGTGCATGTAAATTTTAATCCTCATTTCTGCAACTGGTCACATGTCTTTTTGCGTATTCATCACTATAACCATATGTTTCCCAAAATGCCTCTTTATTTAGAGAAATAAGGACTCTGAGACTCATATTATATATGCTAATGCCTTGGTTGAATACCTCGGGCTGGCTCCCTGGCTAGCTCATAATATATAATCCCATTTATTTGACACTACTTTCTGCCATGTGGTTAGTTACTGCTCCTCTGCTTCATGTGTCTGTCTTCTTCAGTGTCCTGGGACAGATCGCCTGGTTTCCTGACTGATATTTATAACTACCTTCCTCTACTACCCATTCTGAATTTCCTCTCTTTTGGCAAGCACCTGAGCAGGTCTTGTCTCTTTTCTTGGAGGACGGACCATACCACCATTCCTGAAGGGTCTGTGCCCTTTGTCATCCTGCCTGGATTAGGCTGTTGTAGATTCTCATTGACTTTAATCACAGG